TTAAATTTAATTTCCCTAAAATCACTTAATTAGCAATCATTTGGTATTTTTGTTGTATAAATAATTGCATTATTTTTGCTATTTTTCTAATTTTAATATCGAGTTATGATTTTGTTATTTGTATTATCGATTGTATGAATCATTGCATTTAATTTGATATACAGTCATATAAAGTTTATTAATTGTCAAATAATTACGATATGTTTTTTGGTGTGTAAAAGTCATTTATAATAAGTGTTTATGAAATTAAGATTTCATTGTAATCAAAACTATTGTCAATAGTCTATTGATTTTCTAAGTTTAATAAATTTAATTGCGATTTTCAATGTGTTGTCAATGATTTGATTGTACCGTAAAAACTAAGCGCTTTATGAGTCAATGATATCTAAACTTATATTTTATCCAAAATTCAATTGCATTGTAATGCCAAGTAATGCATTGGTTTTCGCATTTAATATACAATTTGTGTTATTTAGGTAATTAAATAAATTAAACTGGATTATACTCGTATGGTATGGTATAATAGGACTATCCAGGTCCGGTAATCTAGCGGGATGTCTTACATGTCCAAATCGGTGATTATATTAGGGACGCGCTATAAAAGCTCTATACATTTTTGCTATCAAAATCTATTCAACTACTCGTACTATACGAGTCAGAGTTACAATACTTGGAGTGAATGTATTTCAATACAAAAATGTATAGAGTTTTTATAGCGCGTCCCTCATATAATCACCGATTTGGACATGTAAGACATTTTAAGACATGTCAACTCTTTCTGTTGGCAAAGAAGTTCATTGATGTCAACAAATTGGATGATAATACGAGTGATGAACTGATCCGTTGTGTGCGTTTACCACTCATGAGATACGGAGACCTCTTTGGTATTGTCGTAAACAGTGGTTTAGTGTCACCCAAGAGGTATCTGGATGTGTTGAAAAGCAAAGCCAGGATAGATAAGGTGATCAGATCTAAAAACTTTCAATAATTGAAAGTTAACTCAAAAATACTTGAAAATACTTGATATTAAATTTTGTTTAAGTTTTAACAGTAAATCTTTTCATGTAGAGGTAAATTAACAAAATTTAGATAACTAACAATTTAATTAAATTATGCACTTATAACCAATATTTGAATTTATATAATTATAGTTATTTTTTATTGAATCTATATTATGTCATTAATATATAGTATAATTAGATCATTAGACCGAAAGAGTGCTTATTATAACTTACTAGTATATAATTATAAGAGATTTTTTGTAACTCATGCAATACTTGACAATAATTGCGATTATTTTATGAAATAAGATTAATATTCAAAAATTCTGTACTAATGATACTAAAAATAAGTATATTTTGCCTAAGACAATTAAATTATAAACATACTGTACTTACTTATAATCATATTTTTAAATATGTAATACATATTAAATTATAGTTTTATATGGAAAATGGTATAAATTGTTGTTTGATAGTTATATTTTGAAAATTTTATTTAATATTTAATCAAGTCAAGTATTTCTATTATATGAAATGATATAATATTTATTTTTACATAATTTTATGAAAAATTAACTTTAATTATAACATTATAATGTTACCTTTCCTAGATAATTGCGGACAAATTCTTGAATATGACACTGGGCAGTCTGGGCAGTCTATTGGGAGCCAATATGGACAATACACGCCATGAATTGTTGAAGAATAGGGCGCTATTCGTACCCAACATTAACCTCTGCAGCGATCAGTTCCGATACGAAGTGATTTCCGGAAGAATAGGTGATACCAAAGCTAATGATGACCTTTGGATCTCCAGTTCTCAAGAGTTTCGAGTCATTAAATTTAATTTCCCTAAAATCACTTAATTAGCAATCATTTGGTATTTTGTTGTATAAATAATGGCATTCATTATATTTGCCATATAAACACCTACCTATCTTACTGTAATAATTTCTTAGCTATTTTAATATATTTTTATAATTAGTAGTTTTTAAATTGTTTAATTAGGTTATTTAAGTTTTTTATGTAAAAGGTTATTTAGAAAAGGGTTTATAAAAGTTTCATTTCAATAGTCATTTCCATATAAAACTATTTAGTAAATGAAAAAAATGCGATTTTAAAATACATTGATGAATTAATTTATTAATTATTTTAGAAACCACTAATAAATGCGTGCAATAATTGTATTGAATTTAATCTATGATATAGTTTTGAATCACTGAAATCAAATCAAACAATTATAGACAATAACATACAAATGAATAAATTAATTATCACTTCAATACTGATCGGCATTTTTATACAATTATTTGGTTAGTATTACTGGAAATTATCTTAAAAACTCATTAATAGCTATAATATTCATTAAATTTCTCATTTCATGCTATCATTTGATTCTCAAAGACATAATTGAAGGGAAAGTCGGCTCAAAAGTTGGTGACTATTCGCACATACAGATAGAAAGCTGCGGTTTGACTGACGGCACCGGTAGTCATATTCAAATGCGTATAGTAGACGGACAAGCGGTACGGTTGGGTGAGTTCCCGTGGATGGCGTCCATACGTAAGAGCAAACCAAGTGGTGATGAGACCATTGACTCCTTCTGTGCCGGTGCTATCATTGCCAACCATTGGGTGCTAACGGTTGCCAACTGTTTCATACAACCAGAGTATGCCATTCGGAGACCCCTTTCCATCACTGACACCATAATTATATTATAATAGGTTTCAAAAGCCAGAGATGGTATCGGTATCCATGGGGTCGACCAACAAAGACATGGGTCGGCGCTTTCACGTGAAGAGCATAAGACTCCATGAGGGCTGGGATGGCAAGAGTTGGACCAATGATATGGCGCTCGTAAGACTGGCCGAAGAGTTTGAGCCCTCAGTGTTCAAAGACAATAGCAGCGGTCGACCCATGTATAGCGCTAACAGTGTATGCCTACCGGTGCGCGACTGGTTTCAAGGGGGACAGGAGTCGGCGGTGTTCAGTGGTTGGGGTTTTGTGGACAGTAATGTCACTCAAGAGGACAATGAGCTGCAAAAAGCCATGTATACGATGGACGAGTCGGCGAAGTGTGATGTGAGACAGGTTTGCGGACTGGAGTCCAGACATGTGCCCTGTTTTGTGAGTGAAATACATGTAAAAATACTATACAGTATTTAATGGACTGTTGGACAGGGAGATGCCGGCGGACCTCTCGTCCAGTTTGATGATAAAAGGGCTGTACTGTTAGGCCTGTTCACGCATATGATACCGTTGGCCAATAGCACCGTTAGCCAACACATGTGCGGCCCCAGTAGGCTGTACTTCACTCGTGTCTCGTATTATATCGATTGGATAGTCAGTACCATCGAAGCAGATAATCAAAGAATTAAAGCACAGGAATCGAGTTTACGGCGAAAGTCCAGAATGAGTCCATTTGTAGTGATATTCATATTATTAATCGTTGCAATCATCTCATCAGTTATTGTATGGTTTGCTATGAAAAGTGAGTTTAGTTTCTGAGATAATTTACGAAATATTCTTATCTTTTATCTAATGAACTGAATATTAATTTTGTTTTAATATTTTTCAGATAAATACGATTCCGATAGAAATTTATAACAAATGTAATACTAATTCAAGACAATTATCTAAAGTTAAAGTTTTTATAAATCCTAATATTTTTTGAGTGTTTTTTATCTGATATTTAAACTTATAATTAAAAAAAGTGTCAAAAACTTGAACATTAGATTCTGTGATAAGGCGACAAACCTTTTAAACTAAAGTAATTCAATAGCACTTTCCACGACATTAGTTATATTTTTATAATCGCTATTCTTGGCAATAATTGTCTCCCATTCCCCCTCTCACTGCCACCAGAGAACTACTGTTCCCTTCACTCCGACACTCGTATCTCTCAGTGCGAAGACAAAAGAAATAACAAAATTTCTAAACGAAAAAAAAGTTAAGCAAAAAGCAAACTAACAGTTAAATCGAGAGTTACTCTCAAAAAGAGTAATAAAAAAGTTTCTCAAAACTCCAAGAATTTGCTCAAAACTCAAACCTAAACGTGTTTCACATGAGTATTCTGTTGAGACAAACAAATCGCTTGTATGTATAAATTATAAGCTTTTTTTCTGTAAATAGTTTTGTTTGTTACTTATTTGTGTTGTGAATGACTCTGAACACCCGACACGAGTCCCGGTGCGCCAAATGTTGCCACTATTGCCGTACGATCAGTGCGTTTGTGTTCTCGCACGTAGGTCTGTGCGCACTGGTATTCGGCTACTCGATAGTCGGTGCCTTTACCTTTCGGGCCCTGGAGGCGCCCAATGAACTCAATTACCGGCATTTCGTGGCTAATGAGAGGTTAAAGTTTGCGGACACCCTCTGGACTATCACTCAAAACAGTTCAGTACTGAATCAGAAGGAGTGGTGCGATGATGTGTCCAAAGAGTTGGAAAAGTTGGAGAAATCACTGGTCATTGCATTGAAATATAATGGTTATGACGGTATGTATGGTTACTATTGTTTAAAATGATAATTACAACTAACAGTTAAATGGTTTAGGATTTTTTGATTAATTTAAATAAGAGTTAACTGGTATTATGTGGACTATATTATACTTATAAAATTACATAAATTACTGTATCAAAGTACTAATGTAAAACTAATTAGTAACTTAAACTTTACTAGTTTTAAAGTAAATGGATCTGTAATAAAATTAGTAATATAATTAATGTCAAGTCTACTTATGTAATATGTAATATTCTAGATTATGTTTGAAAAGTAATTATATCATAATTTGTTGTAAATACTGACTTTAATTTAAGTTACTTTTTATAAGAAAAGTATATTTCTCTTTTGTGTTCACGTCTTATAATAACTTATTTTATGGAAAATGTTTGCGATTTGCGAATAATATACAGGTTTAGCGCCAGTAATGACTGAATTGCTAATCAAATACAAGTTCTTAAACTTCAAAATCAAGACATTTTCGAGTGAACTGTGATTCTGTGATAAAAAAAACTGGGATTTAGTGTTAAATTCTGAGTTTAGTGTTGAACTCATATTTAGCAGTTCTGTGTTTTTCAATTTAAAACACATTACTAAGCATTTTACTGTAAATATACCTGTCATATACATAATTTTTAGTGAATTATAATTAACTAAAATACATAAGTGACTGACTTATGAATACCTAGTTTTTTTGATGAAATATAACACTGTAGTCACTAAACTTTAGTACAGTATTTCCACAAACTTTCCGATGAGAGTAAAGTATAGAATTATAAATAGTTTTTAACACAAAGTTTATATTTAAAAACTATATTAGTTGCTTAAAAATTAATAATTAAGAGTAAGATTTAAAAGAGAAGTTTTTCAAACTAATAAAATTGATGATAGATTAAAGCTAAACGGGTTATAAAAAAGTATTTTGGCAATACTTGACTCCACCATAGGTTTTGGCATTAAGTATACAATCATTCATAGCGCATGTTTCAATGAATACATGTTTCAATGCATCAAACTTTCTAAACTCAGAATCAGTAGTAATTCACTACTAATAACTCAAAAGCAAAATAATAATTTACTTTTATTCAAATCAAATGCACATAATTTACAACAAAATTCAATGTTCAGCACAGGTATCAAAAACAACTCATACATCAGTCGCTATCGTAATCGCTCTCATCATTGGTGAGAATACCGATCCGTTTACCGATGAACCGGATCTTTTTGGTGACCTCCTCTTTGACCAAATTGAAAGACATGGCCAGTAATGCCATACCAAACAGCAGATACAGAGCACAGATACCCAGTATAGTCTGGGCGTCTTCGCGCGAGAAAACAGCCGTTCCCGGCACTAAATCGCCAAACCCTATGGTAGTCAATGTGACGAATGAGAAGTAGGAGGCGTCCAAAAAGGTCCACATCTCCAGGAACTGAAATAGGAAGCCCCCGCCGCATATATAGCCGACTACCAGTGCCAAGCATAGGGTTATGGGAACGTTAGGTATGTCCCGGATCTCGGAATCCGATTCTATACTCTCATCGGAGTAGTAGTCACTCTCGTCGGCCTCTCGCTGATGAGGAACTGTACTCTGAAAAGCGATTGAGTTACCGATTGGTGACAGACCTAAATTGCGGGGTAACGTAGAAAATGGTCGACTGGTGTAGGGATCATAAGCGCCGGTATTCTGATCAATACTGTTCTCCATAAAGCCATTCTCCTGAAGCGCATACATATTGCATATAATGGGAACGGCAGCCAAGTTTCGCTCACTGCTAGCCCTATGCGACTGTCTATTAGCCACAGTAGTCATCCTGGGTAGGGACTGGTACTGCGGGGCCGGTTCATTGACTACCACCGAATTGTCTACGCCGGAGGCCAAGGATTGCATGGTTATCCGGTGGACGTGTTTCTGTTTGCGGCTCCGGTGTCTGTGTCGGCGCCGGTGTTTTTTGGGTGCAACACATAAAATGCAACAGACTTTCCAATAGAGAAACTTGAACGAGTTGGCCATAGCGTCGCCTATGTTTGACAGGAACAGTAGCATCAGAGGTATGCCTACTATGGCGTACAGTATGGTCACGATCTTCCCGATCCTATAATCAGTGTTTTGACAGTAATATAAGTAAAGCATACGATAATTAACAATAGATTTCATGTGTTGGCTATTAATAGCATTGCATTACAAATCGCAAGTAAAAGCAAAAAGTTTTTTGGCTTTAATTCGCATCCCTTTCCCCCCTCTAGTACTACACATCGGGTTCTCATTTATATTGAGTTTTGCGTTAAGGAATGCCATGTTTTCTCGTAATTGAATGCAAATCGTCAGTAAATTTTTTGGTGTCAATTGGATTAATGTTTGTTTAATGGGTTCTATGTTTGAGATTCTTGAGATTCTGTGAATTCCTATGCTATTCAACAGTAGTTTTAGGATTAAATTTCTGCTATCATGTGGTTCTGAATACAGTATTATGTGATTAGTGGTCAATAGGTGAGCACAGGTATGTTATGAATGTATGATTACTTGGTTTTCGGTGCTATATTCCCATAACCAATGGTTGTGATGACTATTATCGAGTACAGGAGAGCCCCGAAAAAGTTCCACTGAAGGGAGTCCTCATCATTGGTGTCATCCTTGCCTATGAGTTGAGATTAGTTTTGAAATAATAGTCAATATTTTACTTATACTTTGTTGTGATATCTGCTTAAGAGGTTAGAGATATGTTTAAATTCTTGAAGTCTAATAAATAATGAATAATAGATTATAGCAAAAAAGGTTATGAAAATAAAATATTTTGGCACCACTTGTGATATTATACTGGGATTTGGCATTAAGCGCGATAATAATAGCGAGTATAATATAATATTTGGTGGTGTGTCTAATAGTCATTTCAAACACAATATAATATATCTATTCATCTCTAATGTCATTAGATTTTTGAGATGAAAACAAGTGATTAGTTTATACTGTTTGCGTCGGATTAACATATAATGCATACACTGTTAATATATGAGACAATTTGTGTATGTTATCATACTTTACATAATATTTGTGTTAATTTGTATTTCAAATATTTTAATTATGTTGTGTTAGACAATATTCCAAGACTAAGAATTTTGTTTAAATATTAAACTGAAAAGTAATTAACAATTTGTTTAATAAAGCGATTACAGTGACTATTAATAGATAAGTCACACAATGAGACTTTTCTTATAAAAAGTAACTTAAATTAAAGTCAGTATTTACAACAAATTATGATATAATTACTTTTCAAACATAATCTAGAATATTACATATTACATAAGTAGACTTGACATTAATTATATTACT